GGAGTGGTATCACTGGGCCAAAACCATGTTAGCTTCCAGATTTCAGCATGCCATCCAGAACCAGAACAGAGCACCTGAGGAACGGCAGGTTTCTTCTGTGCTCTAAAATGAGGAGCACCAGTCCCTCGCTTGGTTGTAGGTCCTTAATCTCATCCTCCGCAATAGCTTAGCCAAGGGACAATGTTCTCCGTTGAGATAGTTGTTTCATAGGGGTTTTTTGGTCTTTGTTTCAGGGAGCTGTTGCAGTTTGTGAAGGAAAACGATGCCATAGCACAAGAAATTTCAGAGAGGTAAGTGGTGTGTCCTTTCTGGCTATTGGGCAGTCGTCTTCCAAAGCGTTTTCTTACGCAGCTTTTGAAGGGGTTACCCGCCAAAGGCAGCCTCGTAGTAACAGGGCGCAGTATAACTGATCCTCCGCAATAATAGCGTGAGGGTTGGGGACCTCATAAACAAGTATGGGGGATGGGGGAACAAGATTACATGCTTAGGTCTTTGGTTCGGATGTGGCCCGTGCCAGGAACCCCACTGAAAGCTGTCAGAAGTTGGGAGCTTTTAGAATCATAGAATCGTTTAGGTTGGAAAAGACCTTTAAGATCATCAAGTTCAACCGGTAACCTAACCCTGCCATCCCACCACTAAACCATGTCCCTAAGCACCTCGTCTGCCCGTCTTTTAAATCCCTCCAGGGATGGGGACTCCACCACTTCCCTGGGCAGCCTGTTCCAATGCTTGACAACCCTTTTGGTGAAAAAAATTTTTCCTAATGTTCAACCTAAACCTGCCCTGGTGCAACTTGAGGCCATTTCCCCTTGTCCTATCGCCCGTTACCAGGGAGAAGAGGCCGACCCCCACCTGGCTACAGCCTCCTGTCAGGCAGTTGTAGAGGGCGATCAGGTCTCCCCTCAGCCTCCTCTTCTCCAGGCTGAACAACCCCAGTTCCCTCAGCTGCTCCTCATAAGCCTCGTGCTCTAGACCCCTCACCAGCTTCGTTGCTCTTCTCTGGACACGCTCCAGTACCTCAATGTCTTTCTTGTAGTGAGGGGCCCAAAACTGAACACAGGATTTGAGGTGTAGCCACACCAGTGTCTCAGTATGAGGCGAGCCAACCCCTGAGAACTGCGTCTGCGTTAGAAGCGCTTCCCGGCTGGCAGCAGCTGAAGCAGCACGCGTCAGGGCTGCTCCGGCTGCCTCTGATAGGCAAGAGCTGATATTTATTATCCCAGATAACAAATACCATCTTGAGGATAACAAAAGCACTGCAGCTGTCAGAGAGCTGCAAGTGTGAATGAGAAGTGTGAAATGAAAATAGGCGGCACAGAGCGGTGCGTGTTGTTTCTGATTTGAAACACGGGAGAGTGAAAGTGGATATCCGTGCGGAACAATACCAGAGACTCCTGTAGGAACTGGAAATGGGTTCTGACTGCGCCTTGTCTGTCTCTAGGGGACGCCAGTTCATCACCGAGCACTTGCAGATGGAGGATGTCTCTTGCTACTGGGAGCATCTGCTGTCTGAGTATTCCCAAACCTTGACTTACAAAGTGAAAAGGAGGAAGAGCTACAGCGAGGTCACTTCCGAATGGCCGAAAACAGAACTGTAGGGGCTTCCCTGGTTTTCTCCTCAGCTTGCACTGATCCCTGCAGAAATCTGAAGATCAGTGTGTCTTCTTTCTCGTTCTCTCAGACCTCTTACCCTTTACACTAGAACTACGGAGAACAGCAGCAGGCTGACTTTGAAACTGCTCCCATCCAGTGGGACCCAGTTACACTCTCGCCATGAGAACCTCAAGTAGAACCTCGGATTATGGCTGTTTTAGTGGGGTGGTTTTGCTCGTCTCTGGAAGGGGGTTGTTAGTGTTTGGGACTTAGTTACTACCTGCCTCAGAGTGATCCGAAATCCCATTCAGGCAACGAGAGGCCTTTCTGTTAATTTTACTGGAGTTTTTACCCAGTCCTCCACACTCACGAGCAAGGTGCGCAGGCTGACAGCTACGCTCGGCTGGGAGATACGTGCCCCTTTCTCACCTGTGTGATAGCACTGGGGAGGTGAGGTGTTCTCTGACAGAAGCAGGTACTACGGGGATTGGGGGTAACCTTTTTTAGGTAGCTTAGAGCTTAGTTGTCTGATGTTTATGTCAGGTTTTTAAAGAAGTCGATGGTAAGGCTTTGATGCGCCAGCGAGAGGCCAGATGATCCTCGCACAGTTGACCTACCTACCTCACAGGGGGGTGGCTGGTGATGAAAATGGAGCCACAGCGCTAAAGCCTGAGTGGCAGGCGGGCAGCGTGCAGCTGAGGTAAAGACGGTTCATCCACCGACTGGCGAGCCGGGTGCCCGCACAGCCACGCAGAACTGAGCCCCTGTGAACGAGCCCTCCCCGGCCGGCCGGCCAGACAGCCTTAAGAACCCAGAGGAAGTAGACGCAGAGGTAGCGTCAGCTCTTCTTTTTTCCAGATGTTCACGGAGTCTCTGCTCTGATCCCCTTCTTGTGATCTTTGTAGGGTTGGTTTTGGGGGGTTTTGTTGGTGGTTTTGGGGGGTTTTTTCGAGGCTGGTAACACGGCTGCTCACTTCAGCATTCGCTTTTCTTTCCCACGCTCCTTTTCTCGTCTCCTTCAGCCTGGCTGAGGGAATGTCTTTGGCTGCACAGTGGCCACTGCTCGTCACATCGCTCGCTCTTGAGTTGAGTCACAGGTCGCTCGTGCTCGCTGTATTTATGCCCGCTGAAGGCTGCTCAGCGTGGAGGGAGTGCAGTTTCTGAAATGCTCCGTGGCCTCTGAGTCGAGAGGCCTGGTAGGAAGCGGCGTTGCCTTTGGCATCCAGACAGGCGCCGGGGAGAGCGTGGGCAGCAGCAGCAGCACAGGATCCCAGGAGGGCCGCTGCCTCCCCGGGGAGCGCCCTTGACCATGAAGCAGCACCTGAGCAAAGAGGGTGGCAGCAACAGCCTCAGGGTCTCCTCTGCGGTTGGTTTGGATCAGAGAAGAAGAACACTACGAGGAACAATAAGGCAAAGCGCACCTGCACGCGTGCGGGCTGAGGCAGGGGCCTCGCTGCGCTGCCGAGCCCTGGTACCGGGGCGCAAGCCCCAGACCTGTTCGTCAAGCGCCCCAGTTGCTGGAGCAGTAGGCCCCTTGTGTGGCCGGCCCCTGGGTCATCCCAGCCTGCAAAGGAAACCAAGCGAGGTACTAAAATAGCCTGGTTTCTGAGGAAAACAACTGTGCAAGAGGGGAAGGGGGTTTTCTGGGTTTGTATTTTTAGTCAACAGAGAGACGGTGCTCTGGGAAACTGAAACAGCTATGTATGGTATTTTTAAACGATTTTTTTTT